ATGGATCTCAGGAACTTCAGGACAACTCTGGGCGTAAGCTGTAAACATAATTTTACGTACATAGAGCCTGGTGGCGCACTTCTAGGACCTGGAGTGTCACCTGTCCACCTGCGCAACTGGGACGGTTTCCTCCCCTCCGCCTGCCTCGGTGCCCGCCCTGAACCCCAGCGCGGCCGGCGGGATCGGACGGAGAAACAGCTCAAGAAGGAACAGTACTCTCTCCTGCCTAACCGGGGTTTACTCTGAGTGTTGAAGAAGCAATGCGTGTGAAGGGTATTTTTATAATGCAAATCGCCATAAACAGGAAATTTACGATCAATGTGGTTAGTCGCATTTCACGAGAAAGAACGCGGAAGGCGCAGCACCCGCGCCCCCCCCCCCGCAGCAGCTGTGCGTGGGCCACAGCCTTGGCGTCGAGGTGCCCGCGCCCACAGTGAGCACCCGGGGCGCTGGGCACGCGGGGCCCACCGCCCACCGGCCGCCCAGCGCCCTGCTCAGACAGCTGGCTGTCTCCCCGCGCTTCGGAAACAGTTAGGGTGGCAATGATCCTTGTAGTGGTGCCTGACGTCCTGCTGTGAGGAAGGTAAACCAGCCTTCGCCATAAAGAACTTACAAATTATACTAAGTAAATATGTTAACAGCTATTAAGAATCCTAATCAGGGCTGTTAAACAAACAATTAAGAGATGTCATATAAAACGCACCCATTTAGGAACAGCAAAAACGCGTCTGGAATATTTAAGAGCCTGCACCTTTGAGAGAGTCAGGGGTGGGAACCAGGCCCCTCTGAGCAAACTCCTTGTCTGAGCCTGGATCCTGTGGTCAGAGCCCTCCTCCCAGGGGCGGGCTTGCACCCTACGGTTTATTTTGGGTCTCATCTCTGTGTAATCAGAAAACTACTCCTGTTTCTGCTGATGTGACTTGTTATTATGAGTAGTTCTTCTTTAAAGGGCTGTGGAGATGCTGCAAGAATCCAGTAATAAAATGAAGAAGGAATGTACTTTGCAGACCGCACCTCAGGTTAGGAAGAGATTCCTCCCCACAGGTGCTCGCGGCCTTGCTTTTCCACGTGTGGTCCAGCAGCCTCCCCGCCCCTGGACCCTGTTGCTCCAAACCCACAGATTCTGCGTCTGCATTTCAGTAGGCTCCTCTGGTCATTCATGTGGATGCTAACATTTTAGAAGGAGATACCGGTGTGCGAGTCCCTGCCACCAGAAATTCCATCAGGAAAATGAATGTGTAAGTGAATCAATGGAAATTAAAATCAATGAATGGAAAGTAAAAATCAAATTGCTCACGTTGAAAAGGTGGAGAAATGGCCCTGGCCAGTTTGGCTCAGTGGTTGGAGCGTCAGCCTGTGGACCAGAGTCCTGGGTTTGGTTTCCGCTAGGGGCATGTACCAAAAAAAAAGGAAAGGAAAGAAAAGGTGGAGAAATGGTGTGACCTTTGCCTTGTGACTAAGCATCCCTGAAGTGGCACCCCCAGCACCCTCCTCTGACGGTGGCTTCCAGAGCGCAGCGCGTTGTCCAACCACACTCTGTGACATCCGCTAGTCTTGTCTCCTCTTAGGGTTCATGTCCCTATGCATACTCAGCATGGCTCCCACTTATGTGGAGCAGAGACGTCGTGGAATAAAGAACATGCAGGAGGGTGTGGAGAGCCCCCTCTTCCTAGCCATGGGTCCCACCATGCTCTTCCATAGTTGGGGTGCACCCAGCCTAGCTTCCGGGGATGTCAGCGCCGCTCGGCTGGGTCTGCTATGTACATATTCTGTCTCTTTTGTGCATCTCACTGAACAAAATCAGAGATGAGAGAACTTAAACCTGACTATTTAGCCACTGCCAAGCATGTAGAGACCTTTAAACGACCGGTTTTATAGCATGAGCATCCCATGAAGGACAGGACGTGATGATGTGGTTTTAAAATCCGAGGTTTTACGTTTGTGGTGGGCGCACTGTTTTAAGGTGATAGAAGTTTTCCCGTAGCATGTGCTACCACAAAGCGAACCTCCCAGCGAGCAAAGCGCGCCAAGGAAAGTGTCTGTTGACTTATCCAGTTAAAAAAAAAAATCCTGTGGAAAAAATTATAATGATGTTCTTTATAATTATTCTTGGAAAAAATCAACTCTAAGAAAGTTACAGCAGGCCTAATTAATGTTCAAATTGTTCCTCCTAAGAAGCAGGTTTTTCACATAAATGAGCTTCATAGAAAACATTCCTGTCTGCGTTTAGTGGCGATGCAGTGTTCTTTCGGACATTGCAGTAACATCAAGCACTGCAGATAGGAAATGGGAGGGTTTTGTTTCTGCTTTTTCACTTGTTTTATTGTTGTTTTTCTCATGCTGTGCAAGTAAGGAGGCAAATCAAATTGGAGAACATTGACAATTTTCATCTGGCAGTGTGGCTTTTTCAAAACAAAGGTTATATTTGGGTTGAAGATCATTTGACCATTTAAAAAAAACAAAACAAAAAAAAAACCATGAATTTGGTTCACGGAATGGTTGAAGGCAAAGAGAACTGTAGCACATGAAAACCGTTTTCCTCTGCCGCTGTGCATGCCTTAGCACAGGAGGTGAGTGTGCTCCTAACCAGGTGGCCGGGCAGTCATTTAACCTCCATGACTCAGTTTCCTCCTCTCTAACAATTAGGGCTAAAAATTAAACCTGCCTGTTAGGTTTACTTGAGGACTAAATGAGCTAATACATTAAAGCATGTTTAGCAGGATGCCCGATAGTAAGAGCCCACATCATGTTAGATATTGAATTATTTTTAGCGCGCCATCACCCACCCAGTTTTGACAGAAATATAACACACACAAGTCATTCTGTCCTATTCTGAATGTCAAGTGGCCCCATGGCCCCGTGGCCCCAACACAGAGCAAGTCCCTCCAGTGCCCACATCTTTCCTCTTCCTTTACTGGAGCCAAACTTCACGTAAGAACTGCCTGACCCCAAGTCTCCAGGTCCCCAACCTGCACCCATCCCTCACCCACCCTGCATGGCTTCTGCACTGCTGAGGGCGTGTGCCCAATGGTGGCAACTGTGGTTGGTGTCTCCTGATCGCCAACCCCGGTCACTCCAGCTCTGAGGCCATCGGTCTTCACGCAGCCTGGACATCTTCCCAGAGGTCACCTTGGGTCCCTCCTGCTCCGTGTCTTCTAGTCTCCGTAGCCTCCCATCCAGACGCTGGTGCTCCCAGACCCCGCCCGGCCTCCGATTCACGCCTGGCACGGAGTCACTGCCAGCCCTTGCTGAGAACTCCGGGCAGTGTTTCCTGCCCTCTCCCTCCTTCCCGAGCCCCGTGCTGGCACCGGGTGTGCTCAGTGAACTCCCTCACCCACCAGTGGAGGTCGTGTGCTGGGCTGCCAGGTTATAATACAAGGCATTCATTAAAGATCCAGGGGGCTCTGAGCGACCTTAGACCGAATCTCTTTTATTTCCTGTTTTCAGGTATTTTCTCATTTTCATTCACATCTGACGAGTTTTCTGTCGGCTGCCATGGCCAGGCGCCAGGTGTATGTATGCTAAGAATTTAACAGCTCAAAATGGGGTAGAAATGAGTGTTGCGTAGCCTATTTGGAGGGTTGCTTCTTGGATTGATCTGCAGTATAGGTGAGGAGAGGTGTTACGTCCTATCCTGTAGGTTTTGAATTTGAAGTGATGGTGGGTCAAAAGTGAGTCTCGGGAGCCCACGGTGTCGGAAGGAGGAGATGCTCTGAAATAACTGGCCCCCGAGTGTTTTCCAAACCCAGTAAATCCAAGCTGTCACTTTAATTCTAACACAGACCAACAAGTATATTTTTATTAGAAGAATCCTAATAAGATTCTATCTTCCTTATCTCCAGAATGTTTTCATCTCTATTTTCTGACATAATTACTCAAATTAAAGTATCCCTTCTGAATTATTCACTTATTCAACACATGTCTATTGAGAGTCAGAATCAGGGACAGTGTGCTAGTCCCTGGGATAGCACGGTGACCAAGATAAGAGCATGGTCTTCCCCCCTGAAGTTTCCATCGGCTTGAGGAGTGACCTGTCAAATAATTGTGCAATAATTATCTACCGAAGGTGTGTGAGTGTAAGAAAGCCTTAACGAACAGAATACAAGAGCGAAATGGGAACAGACTCATGGATACAGAGCACAGACGGGGGGGGGGGGGGGGGGGGGGGGGGCTGGCTGCTGGGTGCAAAGTGCAGGGACTGGGAAGTCAGACCGGTAGTGGACAGTCACAGAGGCGTAGCTCGCAGCCTAGAGAACATGGCCAGGAAGGTCGCAAGAACCAGGTGAAGCCAGTGGGTTCTGGAAGCTGCAGGGAGGGGGCACTCTGTGAGTACCTGCTGGTCTCACCATGGTGCTATAATCTGAAACTAAGACAGAAGAATATTGAATGCCAATTGTAATTAAAAAATAAAAATATATAAATACAGTTTTAAAAAGGAAAGCCTTAACTACTCTGGGCTCCCAGAGGCCTCGCTGAAGAAGTGCATGTCCGGGAGACCCAAGAGGGCTGGGGGCCGGACCCGTGTCGAAGGTGAAGAAGGGACGTGCAAACCTGAGGCAGAGAGGACAGGTCCGAGATGGCAGCACAGTGGGTAGAGGAGATGCAGCCAAGCCGAGGCCATGGGGGAGGGGGCCGAGTGACCGCGGCCGACTTCCAGGTCTGGGCCCCACGTCCCAGCGAGGAAAGTGAGCTCTCAGCTGGGTTTCCTTGTGCTATGCCACATTTGACTCCTTGGACATTCGGCTGAGTGGCTCTGACTTTGAACAGCCCTCCTGAGGTGTAGCCGACGCACGGCACCCTGCACGTATTCCAGGTGTGCGGTCCGGTGCGTTCTGAAAGGTGGACACGTGTGAGACCGCAGCGCTCCAGGCTTGGGGCAGGACTCCCGTGCCCATGCGCCTCCCCTCGGCCCCGGAGGCGGGACCCGGGCGCCTGCGCCCTCGGTGGAAGGGGGTGTGCTGGGGGAGCCGGGTCTGACTGCCTGCTGCCGTCCTCCCCAGGTGTGCAGCGCTGTCCAGAACCAGGACTTCACGGTGATCGAGGATTACTGCGCTGGCCTGCGAGCCCTCCTCTACCTGCAGAGCATCGAGGAGCTGCGGGCCTGGGACGGGCAGAGCCCCCCTACCGCGAGCCACCAGAAGGGGAAGCCAGTTCCTGGAATAGCTGAGCTCACCGGAAAGGTAGGTGCGCACCTCCCGCTGGCTGTCCCGAGACGTGCGCCTGCTCGCGGCCACTCCAGGTCGTGGTTCCCTCCCACCGCCCCGCGCAGGAGACCGGGCCGTGGGATACGGTTCCACAGCTGACTCCTGCTGGAGGAGGCCCAATGACAGGTGGGACTGCCACGTACGGTGTTCCGAAACCAGTGCAGGCAGGGTCCCGCAGCAGATCCCTCCGCGCCCCTGCGGGCTGGGCGGAGGCCGGCCTTTCCAGTGGGGGCGGAGGGTCCTTATTCTTTAACAAGCTCTGAACTGGTGACGTTCCCTATTTTCAAGATCATCATGGGGGCCCTGGAGAATATGATAATGTTTTTTAAAATTAAAATCTAAACAGTATCTTTGTAGCTGCTTCTGCTATGTGCTTAAGCCGGGGCGCCAAAGGTTACGTCCCGACCTTCTCGCTCGCTGCTGTTTTGTGAGAAATGTACACTGCGTTTACGTTTTGCATAATACGGTGATTTTAGCAGCTCCTTTCTGATACAACAGTCAGCATTTCGCCTTTGTGTTTCCTTTGTGTTCTTCTACACAGACAGCCATTGTCAAAAGACATTTCCCCAGCCCTAAGTGAGGGGAGGAAAAATTATAATTCTTAGTCTTTTCAGCTTGTCACTACATCAATAATTAACTTTAAAGAAAAGAGAAGCAAGTATAAAAAGATTCTTTAAGGAAGCATTTAATAATTCAAATGAATCTTAACTTGAAACAGGTCACATGGAAAAAAAAAGGAAACTAAAACCCCTGCGCACTCTGCCTAGGGGGCAGGGCTAGGGATGCGGAGCGGAGGGGGGGGATCATCTAACTGACGCGCACTTGAGCTCCCGTGGAAGACACCCTGTTCCTCTCCTGGCACAGCCAGAGTAATGGCTTCTTGAGGAATAACGTGTATGATTGATAGAACCAAAAGGAAGGGAGAAATAAGATCTCATAGCGTGGGTTGTAGGAAAACAGCGCTGAATGACTCCGTGAGTGGCAATGAAACAAATGCTGGGTGACGTTAATATTTCTAATATTGTAATTAGCAAGACTGTGCTGAGGCAGTCTTGTGAATGTAACTAATCACATGACCATAAACTGAGTCTGCAGGATTGACAGGTGAGCGTCCTTGCCCTCATCAATGACCCTCAATATCCTAAGGTTGTTTATAACTAAAAAAAAAATTCGCAAAAAACTTTACACTCATTCATTTTAACTATCTAATGAAAATTGTTTCCAACATAATCGTGTTGATGGTTTATGATCATCTATAACAGCGTCATCCCGAATGCAAGGGGTCGCCATGCAAGGCGCGTGGCTCTGTGCCGCTGGTCTTCACTGGACTCGCGTGCTCATTTCCAAACTCACCTATTCAGGTGGAAGGTGGACAATGATGGAGACACTGTATCAGTGACGGAAGTGGAAATTGATTTGCTGGTAGTTTGGGTCTTGATTTAGGTTTATTTTGGCACACTGAGCCTTCATCAGAATAGGAAGTGTCATTTTCAACATTATCATTTGTTAAAGAAAAGAACAAGATGCTGCCTGTGTGAGGGTTAGTGGTTCATTTCTTAGTAGTGAGAGGAGGACCAGGCAGGCCTGGCAGTGGATCTGAGCTCCTGGCTCCTCTGCAGCTGACCTAACGAGGCAGGTGACAGTGCCCTGCAGGTCAGTGTTTCTAACAGTGGATCTAAGCACTCTGGACCCTGGTGCAGATGGCGTCCTGTTCCTCCCTTTGTTACCAGGGGGGGTGTGTGTGTGTGAGAGAGAGAGAAAATGTATGAGTGTGCATGTGAGAGAGTGTGTGTATGTGTGAGTGTGTGTATGAGAGAGTGAGTGTGTGTGTATGTTTGTGAGAGTGTAAGAGTGTGTGTATGTGTATGAGAGAGTGAATGTGTGTGAGTGTATATGTGTGTGAGAGTGTAAGAGTGTGTGAGTGTATGTGTGAGTGTGTGTGAGTGTGCGTGTGGGTATGTGTATGTGTGAGTGTGCATGTGAGAGTGTGTATGTGTGAGAGAGTATGTGTGTGTGAGAGTGTATGTGTGTGCATGCATGCATGTATGTGAGTGCACGTGTGTATGTGTGTATGAGTGTGTGAGTGTGTATGTGTGAGTGTGAGTGCATGGATGTGTGTGAGTGTGCATGAGTGTGTGAGAGTGTGAGTGTGTGTGAGTATGTGAGACGACAGCTTGTATTACACTCTCAGTAGCTGGAGATCAGGATGGCGCCTGCCTGTGTCCGGGTGCTGAAGGGGAGAAAAGAGGAGACTTAGCCCTTCCTAGGAAGACCCTGGGTGTAGCCATCTTGAGATGGCAGAGGTCCATTTGGAAAGCGAATGACCTCCATTCCTTACTCGGCATAGTCTTCCCCTCAGCGGTCAGCTAGAATGAATTAGAGTGGAAAGCGAGAAGCCAATTGCAATCCCATGTTTGAAGATGGAGAGAAAATGAGATGTTAGCCAGGGAAACAAGGATTTGACCGAATGAGTCATGCAGTCCCTCAGGTAGTTAGTATATTTAATATACTCTCCCTGTGTGTACCGCCCTTGTTGGCTGGTTAACTTCCCACGCCATGTGTCTGCGGATGGCTTAGGAAGGGCCAGCGGCCAGGCGTGTCGTTGGCTCTGGCCTCACAGTGCAGTGACGCTGTGCGGCAGGCGTGCCTCCCGGCCCACTGGGAGGACGGCTGCCGGCAGACCGTGGGGCTCCAGGACCAGGTGGGATGCTCGTGAGAAATGCAGTCTCCCTGGTCCCAGTGTCTGGGTCTAGTGTAGTAAAAGGAGATGGGAAGAAGCCTGATGGGAAGAGTGAGGCAGGCGGCTGAATGACCCCCACTCCTCCTCGGCGACACGCCCCGAGTCTGAGCTTCTGGAAGGCCGGGTTCTCACCTCGAGCCGGGCCTGACGTGGCATCCCGCGCAGGAGCAGCAGCCTGGCGGCTGCAGGTGAATGAAATGTTGATCAATCACGCATGTTCTTTAGGATCTGTCTCAAATGTCACTTTCTTTGTGAAGCCATCTGTGACCTGCTCCTTCTCCCTCCAGGAAAATGGGGTCTCTCCTTCTTCTGTTCTCCAGTAGCCCTTTTTCATATAACTGCTGTTTCCAGTATTACATTATCTCCTGGTCCTGTCTCTTCTTGTCCATCACTGAGCTCATTAAGAGCGTCTTGAAAACAGGGATCATGTCTCATTCATACGAGAATTTTCCAGCGCCTCACACAGCGCTCCATGCTATAGAATTAAATCACACAAACTATCTGCACTGTCCTCATTTAGAAGGGAAAAAAGAAAGCCAATTTATAATTAAAATTCCAGCCAGGCCCTTTCAGGAACAGAGTCATTTGAGAAGAAAACAGGAAGCATGCCAAATTGCTCCCAGCAGGTATTAAAACATGATGAAATGCGTATCAGCGATATTGATAAGTGAGGATAATCTGTGCTCATTTAAAAAGCTTCCATTAGGATAAATCAGGAAACCGGCAGGTGCTTGTAGAGAAACTCCTAAAACATGGCTTTGTTTGGATGACAGAAACCGAAATCGGTGCATTCAGATAACCAAGTCCATCGTCTCTTGTTATTTTAAAGCCAAGAGTAATATGATTTGATAAAACGATGGCTATCCGGTTGTGATACTATATATGAAGGTGTCTCTTTCTCTTGTTCTGGCATGTTCTCCAACACAGAGCACAAAGAGAGCGTCACAGGCAGGACCACAGGCCCGATGAGTCTCAGAAGAGGGGTATGCTGTCTCCTGCCACAACTTTAAAAGTTTTATGTCTTCCAAGCTATTTATTTTTTTATATTTTTATTTTTCCAAATTGAGATCTAATTTACATAAAATAAATGGTGATTATTTATACTTAGAAGCAAAAGTTGCTGGATAAGATTTGCCCTCTGGCCATCTAATGGTCCCATTCATGTGTGATGAGCCCACAGAGCAGTCAGCATGCTCCAGTGGGGGTGCGAGTGGGGAGCATGGCGGGCATGGGTTTGAACCCAGGCTCAGTGTCTCACTTCGGGGTAACTGTGGGCCAGCTACATGAACCCCACAATCCTCCCATCCTATAATGGCAAGTTGACACAATGATACCTATTTTACAAGTGCTTTGTGAGGGTTAGAAAGCACACCTGTAAAGTGTACAGCACACAGGAGGCATTCAGTACATGGCAGTTATTGTTATAATTACTTCTAATAGATAGATAGATAGATAGATAGATAGATAGATAGATAGATATAGATAGATGATAGGTAGGTAGATGATAGATAGATAGATAGATAGATAGATAGATAGATAGATAGATAGATAGATGATAGATAAATAGATATAGGTAGATAATATGTAGATAGATAGATAGATGATAGATCGATAGATATAGATGGATGATAGGTAGATAGATGATAGATAGATACATAGATAGATAGATAGATACATACATACATACATACATACATATATACATAGATACATATATAGATAGATACATAGATACAGATAGATGATAGGTAGGTAGGTAGATAGATGATAGATACATACATACATACATAGATACAGATAGATGATAGGTAGATAGGTAGGTAGGTAGATAGATAATAGATAGGTAGATAGATAATAGATAGAAGTACTTTGGAAATGTGATATGTGATATATCCATACCCCAAGTATGTGGATAATATTAGGGTAAACATAAACATTGAAAATACTTGAGTTTATTTTTTCTACCTTTGGTGTGTATTTTCCAGCTGAGACTCACACATTATATTTATACTTTTTCCTGGCCTTCTATTGATAATGTGATCTTCCTTGCTTTAGTTTCATTTAATCTGGTAAAAGCTAGCATTTTTGTCCTTTGAAGCATTCCAGTTCACAAAGAAAAGATTCTCAACAATTCAGAGTTGGTCATTTTCCAAGTAAAATGGAGATAAATTTATTAAATTGGGGTTTGGGCAATGAACTGGCATGAATGATTTGTCATTGGTCCTAAAGGGGGTGA